TCTTAATCATATCTATCCATTCATCTCACATCTACATACAGATTTTTGTTCGCCGCTCGCTTCTCTCTCTCATTGCTCACACTCTTATTATATTTCCTCTCGCACCACTCTTACCACCATTGTCCATTCATGCACTCTTGTTTTTCCTAAACTCACAGATATGTCATTACTTTCCTCTATTCCAATCGCTTTCATGTTGGCCTGCTTCCTCACCTTTTCTTCCTTCGTATCGTTCCACAGTCATGTTATTATATTCTATCTTTCTTATTCGCTCTAACACTTCATAATTTTTCTCTCGGACTCTTATATGCGCCACTCTCACATTTTATTATTTCACTCTTGTACTACCCTCAAACACATTTATACCTCTAACATTTCATATGTTCTCAAACCTCACATTGCCACACGCTTTCTCTTCTACTCTTATATGCCCCACTCTTGCATTTAGTATCTCACTCTTCCTTAATAGTCTTTAACGTTCATTTTCTTTGCCATGTCTTACTCCCATAATCTTTTACCTACGTACTCCCTCTAATCTCACAATCCAGTGCTCGGATTTAGTTGTACTACACTAAATCATACTATATTGCCCAACCATATGTCATCCATTTCGTTCTTATTCTCACACGTCTTTATTTTTCTCTCGCATATATCCTTAATACCATTTGTCTTTAGCACACTCTTGTGTCAATCACTTCCACTAATACCATCGCTGTCTGTACTTAAATTACTCACATCTCCACGTCTTGTTTGACTTACTTACGTCTTCACTTCTGTCTCTACTATCTTACCTCTCTACGCCTTTTTTACTCCCACCCCCACTCATTCTCTCCCTGTCTTACGTGTCTCATCTTTAAGACTTACCTTTATATTAATCATATCAGTTTGGAGTAGCGTGTAGATAATTTCTAGTTCAAAACGGACAAAAATAAATGTGTTCTTAATCATATCTCTCCATTCATCTCACACCCACATGCATGTTATTGTTCTTCGCCCGATTCTCCCTCATTGCTCACACTCTCATTATATTTCCTCTCGCACCACTCTTACCACCATTATCCATTCATGCACTCCTGTTTGTCCTGAACTCACAGACATTTCACTACTTTCCTCTATGATAAATTAAGAGTGTTACTATCAGACAGACACCATCTCTAAATCGCATATTATATATTACCCTCAAACACATATATACCACAGTGAAATCGCCAAATCGCATACTATGTATTACCCTTAAACACATTTATACCTCAGTGAAATCTCCATACTATGTATTACCCCAAAATACAATTATACCTCAGTGAAATCCCCAAATTGCATACTATTTATTACTCTCAAACAAATTCATACCTCAGTGAAATCTCCAAATCACATACTATGTATTACCCACAAACACATTTATACCTCACTGAAATCTCCATAATTTGTATTACCATCAAACCCAATTATACCTCACTGAAATCTCCATACTATGTATTACCCATAAACACATTTATACCTCACTGAAATCTCCATACTATGTATTACCATCAAACACAATTATACCACACTGAAATCTCCAAACTGCATACTATGTATTACTCTCTAACACTCTCTCCAAATTGCATACTATGTATTACTTTCAAACACATTTATACCTCACTGAAATCTCCAAATCACATATTATGTATTATCCTCAAAGACATTTATACCTCACTGAAATCTCCAAATCACATACTATGCAATACCCTCAACCACATTTACAACTCACTACAATCTCATAATTCCCATCTCTATTTAGTTATCTCCTACTCACCACTTGTTTTAGCAACCACATACCTTCTTACTGTCTCGCGAGTCCCAACTGTCTTACTCTCACCTCTTTTCGCTTTCGAGCCATTTCAGGCAACCAACGATGCAACGAAATCGCGGCTCTCAGTCAGTCAACTTACTTTTCTCTCATTTTATCACATCCTCACACCCATATCTTTATATCCCCTCTTTCACTAACTGCCATCATTACGTCTCTAACGCCCCTTTCTTTAACACACCCAGTTCCATCCTTGCAATATTATCAACATTCATGAGCGCCTCCAATGCCATTTTCCCTCATTCATATTTATCGTTTATACAAGCCTCATTACTTACCTTCATTTCAATTCCCACTTTCTGACGTCTGTAATAAAAAATTTGACCAAGTCTGATGCCACCGATGATAGTGATGGACTGTTACTAACACGTTCACTCTCTCAGATTTTCAGTCATGATCCTTAATTACTCTTACTAAAAATGCTGATTGTGAACCATCGTCTGCAAATAGCTTGTGCTGTACGCGACACACATACGCGCAAAGTCGTGGTTTTGACTGCAGCTTCGCTGGTTGCCTAAAATTGCTCGTTCTTTCAAGAAGCCAGGCTTTCAGTGCCTTTAGCAGTTATAGCTAATTAATGTATTTCTAAATTCCATGAATAGCTAAGATCTATCTCAATATTACTGTCCCTTTCTTTTTCTTCCTCCTTAATTTCATTTCTCCTAAAATCATGGACAAATATGGGAGAGGATGAAAGAATGAATATAACATTATAAGTGGATGTGCTATAAAGCACAAAGATTGAGAAGAGGGTATGGGACGAGAGCGGCAATAATTGATACGAACGACAGGGGTGAACAGCGAGAGAGAGAGAGGGCAAGAGGGGGGGGGGGTCCAGAGATGTTTGGGAAAGAGAAAAGTAGGGTATGTGTATGTGTGTGTGAGAGAGGGGAATTGGGGTGAAAACAGGGTAAGAAAGAGATGTGTGACTGACATAAATGTGAGAAATATGAGCAAGAGATATGCGGACACAGTGATGTTTGAGACAAACAGAATGGATAGCAGAGTAAAGTTTAACAGTGAATGATAATGAGCGGGGAAGGTGGCGAAGGGATCGGCGTAGCTGAGTGTGAGTGCTCGAGAAATAAACGTGTCAGATGATTGAAAGATATGTTTTGGTGCACTTCAGGACATAATTCTGATTTGAAGATTGTCTAGTTTAAAAATTGGGCACTTGCATTAATTTGAACTTGGTTGGGGGAAACAGAAATATCTCTCGTACAAATGATTTAATTCTGTCTGAAAAGGTATTTTCTCACCAAACCGTTGTCCTTTCTCACAGTGAGGTTTTGAGCGAAAGTATGCTTGATGATAGAATGTCCTTTAAACTTGTGCTCTCGTAATATATTTTAATAACAGTTTAAGGTTTATGTTAATACACATTTTATAGTTAAATATGTATACATGTAGTTAATAAAATTGGTTAAGCCCCATTTCAAAATACATGCAAGAATCCCACCGACTACCATGTGAACCAACCTCTCTCATCCATCATTTTCCTACATCGCAGCCTCCATCATCCCTTTTCGCCTTTCCTATCTCATCTACCGCAATCTCATAGCATGCGCCTCTTATCCTTCATCTATTTCACTCATTAGCCCCACGTATTGCTTCCTGCCAATCTCACCCCTCTTACTATTTATTTCTATCACATCAATTGTTCTCAATTCATTCCCTCACACTCACTGTCTTTCTCTCACTCTAATCTCTTTCTTATCGGGCAGTCACAATCTCCTATTACTCCTTATATATCACCCACACTCCGAATCTCCTCTTTCTCATTCATCACCTCCTATTCTTACCTCCCCGTACTCTCTGCTTCTCGAATACGACATCTCTATATAGGATTTTATTTATCACAACTAAAGTCTTCAAATCAAAGTTTTGTCGACAGGAGGACCTATCGAGGCTCTCTGAAGTTCAGCAAAATATATTATTGATCTCCCACTCTCATTTCTCGTGCACTCACACTCTGGGCTCCTCTGATCTCTTCTTCGCCCACCCCCTCTCTCTCTCTCTCAGCCTTAATACTCATTTTCTTTTCCGTGTCTTACATTCATCCTCGTTTACCCACACCCCCTTGCACCCCACACTCACGTATTCATCTTTCTTATGCCTCACTCTCATATTTTCTCTGTCATGTACCCCAATCACTCTTAATACTACCGCTGATTCTGAACTAGCATACTTGGTGATAAAGTACTCTTTAATAGGGGCTTACTGAAACAACCAGCAATTCTTAGCCAACAACAGATACTGTCAAAATCACGGCTATGTGTGTGTCGCGTACAGTATATACATACAATTTGCAGTTCATGGTTCGGGCATTGCCACCCCTTGACGGCACCCATGAATGAAATATAGTCAGGGTGGGGGGAGGCGTCATTGAGTAGGTCAGATGACAGATTGGTCACACAAAATAGTGTTCCGCGTGACATTGCTTGCTACCACAACTGATGTAAGTATATCAAACGTGTAGTAGAAATAATACGTGAGTCCAAGAGAGCATGTATATACGAAGGATTACTGTGAGTGAGGCAGATCATGCTTTTTGGACGGATGGTGCGTACACGAGTGTGTAGAAATAAGAATCGTGGATATGTGAGCTAAGATGGTCATGGGTCATGCGAAGATAAGATGGGGGGGGATAAGAAAAGTTTAACATGGAATACATGGACAAGAAAGAGAAAGATTAGAATGCCAGATTAGAATGCCATAGTTATCGGGCAGACAAGAGAAGGAAGCAAAGACGTAGAGAGGAGATAAAGCAGAGCAACAGTAGAGCGATGGTATTAATGGACAGGACTGGCATATTTGTGACTTAAAGACAAACAAGAGTGTGTGAATAAACAATGGTAGTGGGGATTGGTGACGCATAAACGAGAGTAAAACAGAATGAAAGAGAACGAAAGCGATTGTATTTGTGGAAAGGACTGACATATTTGTGACTTAAAGACAAACAAGAATGCATGAGTAGTGAGGGTTAGTGACGCACAAGCGAGATTAAAAATAGAATGAGAGAGAAAGAGAGCGATGCGGGATGTAGTAAGGAGTGCATGGATGAACAATGGTAGTAAGCGTGGTTGTGGGAGCGATACAAGGAAACATGGAAAAGTCATGGAGAGGTGCGGAAGCAGAGATAGAGGGGGGTAATATGAATAAAAAGTGTATAGGAAAGGCGTGACATATCAGTGAGTTAAGGACAAACAAGCGTGCGTGAATGACAACTGGTAAGAGTAGTGGAAGTTATTTAGTGACGTACATGCGAGAAACAACAAATATAATGAGGGTGTAAGAAATGAGAGAGAAGAACGGATAAAATAAATGAGGTATGAGGGGGGGGGGAATAAGTAGCAACGACAACACTTACACAACATGGGAGTGAGGGACGAGAATCATAGAGATGTAGGGCGATGTTTAAGGGGAAAAAGAGACGAAGAGAGGCGAGCAAGCAGAGAATACAAGAGAGGTGGAGAGATTGCAAGAGAGTAGAACTTAATGAGAGGTAAGGGAAATATGCAGAATTTGTTATCCCAAAAATAGACGGCAGCGGTGTATTTTCTCGACAAGGGGCCTGGTTACATCCGTGTCAAATCACACCAAAAATGGAAAAAAGTAAACCGTACCCACTTTGATTTTCCTGAAATTTGGTGTGTGTGCTTCTTATGGCTTCTTACGGTCACTGGGATATCAGCCATTCAATTTTTGCCAAAATGGGCGTGACCACAGGCTATAGTCCGATTCCTGGGAAAGAATGAAAGAGGGAGACTGTAGAGTAGAAAAAGCAGGTCGGTAACATATATAAGGCACTATACACTGGGTATTAACATAAAATATGTTATCGTCCATATATATCACTCACTTACTCCACGCTAACAATCCGACCTGGTTGATCCCTTTATTACTATCACCACCGTTTTCCCCCAATCATCGCTTTAAAATATCACCCTGATCTATCTCACCGGCACATGAATCTCGTTCACTCAAAATCATTAAAATTTTGACAATTATTTGCTCTAAATCAACATTCACCTCTCATAATTTTATTTTCGGTCTCCCGTTCATCTATACACTCTTCGTTCTATTCATCTCCGACTGCATCTAACATTTTACCTCATGCTTCATCCGACTTTCTTATCTCATATTTTCTTTTTCTTCATCTTCCACTACCACGCATTTCACTCAACCGCTTTACATTCAACCGTTCATGTTTTATCCCCGTTTCTCTAGGCAATTTACACATTTTAAGCTCACGTCACCTCGCCCTATTTCTCGACAACCTCTTATTTAAAAAGTAGTACGCAAAATAGGATTTTAAAAGAGATCTAGCGTATGTAAAATACAAGCATTTGACCCTTATTCGTTTTCTTCCATATCACAAATGTCTCCCCCAATGTTATCCAGGAGTAGGGTCGTCTGTCCAAGCTTGTGGGTTTTCTTCCACTGCGAAAGACCCCTACGCGGAAGCGAATTATTGAAATAAACTTGAACACTATCTGTGTTAGTCCCGAAATGACCTAGTTTGAGTCGACTGGACGTTAAACTTTCTCTCGCCCACTCAATGATCCAGCGCTAACATTCCTCCCTTTCTCCATCATCCCCAAATCATTCTCCGAAACTCCCTGCCTCTTTCACTCCAATAATCTCTGTTGTTTTCGGCACGGTCACATTCTCGTTTCATTCTGAATCTCATCTATCCCCCACCCCGTTTATATCTTTTATTCTGACGGCCAGTTTTTTATATTTTTTTTTGTGTCAGGAACTGGTTGCTAACCGCTATTCATTCTCATCTTGTTTTTGTTCTTGGGGTGACGCACTTCGAAAAAGCCTAAGTTTCCGTCAATTCAAGTCCGAGCGAAATGAAAATTGGCATGCTTCTTCTTTGAAGAAATCAGCATCGATTTGGTGAATTAGATTTTAGAATTTCATCCAAAAACTTGGTCAATTCCTCCTGGTCTATAGTACGGTGGTACTTATTTTAAACAATATGTTTTTATCAAAAATATAAAGGGATTGCGGAACAGGCATAGTCTATATGACCGCTCTCCCAATCTAAGGGAAGTGTGTCACATTTGGGGATCAGAACAAACAGGCATGTATCCACATACATGAATTAATCAGACCAATAAATTAAACTTCCTGACTTTTTTCACACTGCAAACAAAATCTTTTGTTTAAATAAAATCATAAGCAGTGCCAACTACCAAAACGAGTTAATTCGTGTACAAATTCAGGACTAAAAGTGCTTCCGGAATGTGAAAACAATAAAGCTTTTGCGTAACACAATTTAAGAATAAGAATACGTTTATTGTCGTAATATAGGCCATAGACCAAAATTTCCAAACTTGACTCAACCTTGAATTGAGCCTGATAATAAAGTGTGTTTATGTTATACTGTTTAAAGATATTGTATAAAAAGGTATACTTGTGAAGTAACACAAATTCAGAGGAGTATGTATACTAACAAACTAATACTTCATCACCCCTTATATGCAATTGGAAATACGTGATAATATACAAGGATTACTAGAATCTGATAGAAAATTAGATCTATTGATATTTAGTAGATGAACATTTTGAAAGCAAACATCTATAATATTTGTTTCTATACATTCAAACATGAAATGAAATACATCTTCATTAAATTGATGGTATAATGGACAGTTTGATTTCTCCTATATATATTCAAGGAATTATTTGTTGTAATTTCCGTTTTCATCTTCCTGTCTTAATTCGTTTTAGACGCTAAACCTGTATCCCTTGTACACTAGCCACTAGCATGCTGAAAGATTATGTAGCAAATTTGATACCATATTATACCATATCAATTCTAGACATTAAAATTAAGAAATATTATTTTTAGATACAAAACATTCGGAAAAAACTCTCGTCCCTGTCTCGAACTTAAATTTGACATTTTCCACTTAAATAAGAATTTTAAAAGCTGTAAAAAGAGTAGAAAAAATGAAGACCAAAGAGTGCAATGATATGTGGAATAAACAAATGTAATTCCCGCTTAACAATCGAGTGAACAATTTTCACTACAGAAGAATGACATTGAAGTAGAGGCAGATCTAGACTCTAGTCAAATATTTCTGAATACAGAATCAGAATATTAAAATGGTGAAGAAATTCTGTATTCATTGTGTCACATACAAAATGGTAAAGCAAGTGGGGATGATGGTTAAGTACTTGAAATGTTTAAGAATTCAAAATATGTTACCACAAGGTAAATCAATTACATTCGCCATAGACAAAAAAATAAGTCAAAACCGACCAATTATGGCGAAATATCAATCTTGAATATAATAGAAAATTGTTAATTAAAATCCTAAGGCGGGTTATAGACATGGGTATTCCACTATATAGAATTGTTTTACCCTTTAATCATTGATAGAGAAAAACCAAAAGCAGATTATACTGCATATTTGTTGACTTTACAGCTGCTTTTTACTGTGTTTGATTTTAATATACATCCTTGTTAAAAACAATGTAAGCTCAAATTTCGTCCGAGGTGAAAACGTGTGTCTTAGTTGAAAATAGCCTTACGGATTATTTTGATTGTTCTACTGGAACAAAACAAAGTTGTAAGTTAAGCTCGATGTTATTTGTAATGTTCTTAACTGTATATATCAATATGATAGGCATTGCAAATTGTCATGGTATCATTGTTGATAGTCGGGTACCAAATCTGTAAAATTATCAACCTATGGGAAGCGTTCATTGTTCAGGCTCCTGAAATGATTTTCCTTTGGTCGTACCATTAGGAACTAAAAGGTCCCTTAAAACACATATTTAGGGAAACCTACAATGTACACCTAGCCCAAATTAAATATTGCTGCATTGTATATGTTTTTATTACGTTGGTCTTTTTTATTTTCAACCAGTATCAGTATTTCCTTAAACTTTACTGAAAAAATAAACGAACTTCAGCCGTTAACTTTTATTGAGTGTTTTCTATTTTCCATTTCCCTTATTGTATTGTAAATCGCGTCTGAATACACTGGTACAAGAAGTGTACTATGTTAAATGATCTAATAATAATAGTACATACATACAAAAGATATTGCTTAATAAAGGTTACGATTAGTTCAAATAAAGCAAAACACTTGGTCCCACATGCATCTGATGTTAGTAATTGTAGATATGCTAGGTGCACATATCTTGTGTGATACAAAACACAGTTTTATGACAGAGAACAAAAACCATGTCTTGTAATATGATATTAGACAAACGTTTGTGTTTTGTAATATGATAATTGACAAACGTTTGTGTTTTGTAATGTTGAACAAAATACTACACAAATTTGTGTATCCGTCTTAATCGCCGGTTTACTCACAATCAAACACTTAGTAAATGTAATTAAAGTCATACAAAGCTCCACACATCATTTGTTTTATTAAATAATTAAAAATTAATGATCACATTACATAATATCTGTACTATATATAACTATGACATCAGAGCTTAGCCATGGGCATATGGCTTCAATTTGTGTCAATTGGTTGTCAATTGCATAAACATAAAAAAACTTACATTATTCATAGGTAGAAATAAAACAGGTCTGGACGACTCTTACCTGAAAAAAACAAAACAAAGCAAAGGTTTACTATTATAGATAAATTGCGCATAGTATGACCAATATAAGCTATCAATAAAACACATTACAAAACAATTTAAAAGAAGTAACACGGGAACAGGTCTTTAAAAAAATGGGGTGGGGGTGTTAAATGATCTATTTTCGATGTGACTACGGAATTTACTAACAGTTTGGCAGTGTCCTCATTGATATAACTGGCACGGAGGATCCCGAGACACAAATTTACAGAATTCGTTCATGGTGTTTTCTGCAAATGGGGATAACTTCAAAACACAATGTTTAACAACCAATTTTAAAAACGTCCATTATAAACTGTAGGTTTTCGACAAAGGGGCATAACTCTGGAATCGAATATCGAAGAACGCTGAACATCGATAGGGTGCGTCATACTGTGGGCCTAATAATAAGTTTATTTGGTAATAATAGAGGCCACAGACCCAGTGATTACAGTCTTGATTTACAATCCGGTGGGTGGTGTCAAGATGGTGATGTAATATACTGATACATTTTCAGAAAATATTTATGGTATTTTTGTGCTGAGAGGCGGCCTCCTCTAATCAAGTTACCGCTTCATTAAAGATGTCCTAGACGAAAACGACGAACCTATCTTATAATGCCAGCGTCTTCTGTGATGACAGCCTATATAAACACCAACTACGAATGACTTGTTCAAATGATTGTGGGGGGAGGGGGGTAGTACTAGACATGATAACAGAAGTTCTAGTATTAGCTCTAAGAAACATTCAGGTGAACGCAATGATTCGCCGTCTCCTGACACTGGTATATCGTACATGACACCCAAAGCATTACCCTTTCATCATTTCGTAACTTTATAAGATTGTTCTGATCATGAAAGTAGAGATCCATTATGATTTTGCGTAGAAAGAAAGGCAAGCGAGTTATTT